AAGCTTCTTTACTCCATCTTGGCCCACAAAAAATGCTTTTCTCCCTGACTGGGAATTGAACCCAGGCCACGGCGCTGAGAGCGCCGAATCCTAACCACTAGACCACCAGGGATTATTTTGGTGTGGGAGAAAACCGAAGGACTCGGAGAAAAACCCATGGCTGAGAGACGTACCACTTCACTGAAGTTCACACATTCTCCAGTCAGTGAGACTGTAGAGCGTGAGACTTCATGAGCGAAGTGGTGGCGTGAATGCTAGTGGTTGAACCACCCGCACCTCTATGACCCGGTCAGTCAGGAAACGGCTCCCCGTCACCCTGCCCCTTAAACCGGGTAAGACCTGTCTTCGGACAGTCAGGAAACGGCTCCCCGTCATCCTGCACTGTAACCAAGACCTGTCTTCGGGCAGTCAGGAAACGGAGCCCCGTTATCCTGCAACCCGGGTAAGACCTGCCAGCATGAATGCTGGTGGTTGAAACACCTGCTCCACCATGACCCGGTCAGTCAGGAAACGGCTCCCCGTCATCCTGCACCTTAAACCGGGTAAGACCTACCACCAGACAGTCAGGAAACGGCTCCCCGTCATCCTGCACTGTAACCCTGGTAAGACCTGCCGCTGTGAATTCTGGTGCTTCACCAACCTGCTCCACCATGACCCAGTCAGTCAGGAAACGGCTCCCCGTCATCCTGCACCTTAAACCGGGTAAGACCTGCCCCCAGGCAGTCAGGAAACGGCTCCCCGTCATCCTGCACTGCAACCTGGGCAAGACCTGCCGCTGTGAACGCTGGTTGAACCACCTGCTCTACCATGACCCAGTCAGTCAGGAAACGGCTCCCCGTCATCCTGCACCTTAAACCGGGTAAGACCTGTCTTCGGACAGTCAGGAAACGGCTCCCCGTCATCCTACACTGTAACCAAGACCTGTCTTCAGGCAGTCAGGAAACGGATCCCCGTTATCCTGCATTGTAACCCGGGTAATATTTGCCCGCATGAATGCTGTTGGTTGAACCACCTACTCCACCATGACCCGGTCAGTCAGGAAACGGCTCCCCGTCATCCTGCATTGAATCCAGGTAAGATCTGCCACCAGTCAGTCAGGAAACGGCTCCCCGTCATCCTGCACTGAAACCCGGGTAAGACAGATGGACTGGTCTGGAGTTTGGATCAAAACATTCACCCCAACATCAGTAGTACGATCACAAATCCTGCGATTAGTGCCACTCCAAGGAGGAGAATCGCCGCAGACAACATGTTCAGACGGTATTTCCCCCATTTCTCAAAGGTTTCCAGAAGTTTTTTGATGATGTTACGTAAAACTTCAACAATCTTAGCGCCGACATCCAGATCCAGTTTATGGACCACGTCTCTCAGCTCTGCGGCGGAGCAGGTATCTTGGAGATCCCGAACCGCCTTTTTCGACGCTTTTCTGGACTGTTTCGTGTCCGAGTGGAACTTCCCAGGCACGACAAATCCGTCCAGAGTTGTAGAAACCAGATAATCCAGGAAGAATGAGGTTTCTTCCGTGGGAGTGGTGTACTTACTGACTGCACCTACTTTCGACAAAACTCTCAGCGTCGTGGCCACTGTGAAGAACCGCAGTGGGTTCTTGGTCGCTGCGTCGCAAACAGTTTGCAGAAAGGATCCTGGTACTTCCATTTTTCCTACAGAGAGTGAAAATTGAACAGTTACAGACTTCTCTGATGTGTGTTCAACTCGAACCGACCTTCAGAAAATGATTTCAGTAAACACAGCAGCCCTATATATAGAGTTTGACTGACGCCACGCTGTCCTTTGATACGTCGTCTCTGACGTCATCGTTTGATGTGCGCTTCAGACTTTGATTCCGTCCTCTTTTAAATGGATGACGTCAGATGTGCGCGCGAAATTCTGAGAGTAATAAACAGTAACTGGATATGCAAAAAAAACAACGTCGATAGAACTTTTGAGCGTGACGTCACTTGTCCGCGACGCGGTGGCTGATGGGACAGGATGGTCCGGGTGTACTATATTGACTGTCCTCAATATTAAGTGTCGAAAACAAGCTTCCTCTGTGACTTTTAGTTTCTTAATGTAAGTAGGTTAAAAGAGTTTAGCGATGGCCCTAAATTGCTGCGTTATTGTTTGTAATGTCCGGAATCGTAAAAAGATCGAAAACGGACTTTTTAAATGGATTCTCCACCAGAAACAAGGCGAGGAGCTCATGTGTTGGACGCAACAAAAAGGACACGTGACACGTCCTCGTGTAACTTTCTCCAGCTCCCTGAGACCTGCTGCTTTGTTCCAGACATTCTGGTGAGGGTCTAAGTTCAGTTTGGTGCTGTTGAGCCATAAATGTGTCCGCGTGCATCATGTTTAGTTCACGTTCATAGAAGTGGGTCAACCTGGTTTAGGTCGGGTTTATATTTTACATGTAACTTAGTCCGAGTCTAGACAGAGTGGACGTCTGTGTTATTGTGAAATAAACTGTTTAAAGTTTCTAGTGTCGTCACTTTTACTGTAGTAACACTGCTGTGTGTTGTGATGTGTCCTGTTCAAGACAAACCTTCAGATGAAACTCCAGGAGAGGAGCTCAGTGAGGCTGCAGATGATGGAGAGGAGGAACATGAAGCAGCAGCTGAAGCTACAAATACAATGTGTGAACAAAGAAGAGCAGAAACAAACCACCTGTTACAGGAGAACAGGTCAGAGCTGAATAAAAAACAGCTGGACACATAATTTTTAAAGATTAAATATTACACAGGACTTCAGTGCTTTGCCATCTTCTTGTCATTGTTTAACACTGTTAGGCATTTTCTGCCTGCATTAAAAACTCACACTTTCAATGGTTCCACTAACACTAATGCATCTGTTCAGCATCTCTGCCATGTTTTGAAGGTGTCACATGAAACTCTGTCTAATACCTGTGTCTTCTTTTCTGTCCAAGGGATGGACGTCCATCAGACAAGCTCATAACAGAAGCTGTGGCCTTCTCTCCAGATTATTACCCGGGGACGTTGTTATGACAGAGGCTTTGATATTAAAGAGTGTGGGGGTCGAGCTCAAGGTTCTTTATTGGCATTCACATGGCATGTTGTACATGAGGTGGAATGAAACTGTGCACACAGGGTCCCAGTCACATCCAACAAAAGTATAAATGAATGACGTGCTGAGGTTCAAATCCCATCAGTCACTAAATGGAGATGTGAACTTGATGCTCAGGATGTTGAACACACACGAGCACACCTTAGAGTTCATGTGGAAACAGTGACTGGTTGCATGAGAAACACAATGTTGCACAGAAATACAGTGCCATGAATTTCCATGTATTGTTTTTTTGTCCTCTGGGAGAAGTTTGTCTCGATGGATAGTCCACTTTGTTTTGAGCTGCTTTTCAGCGTTATGGAGGAGGATACAGTGGTGACTCCATGAAAAACACCAGTTTGTTTCTGAGGACAGTAAAAATGGTGGTCGAGACGGGAATGCCCCCAACGCAGTGACGTATGTTCCAAAGCTCTAGACAGGGGACAAGTGGACTGTCTTAGTGATGGACACAGGACAACTTACTGTGGACTGTCTTAGTGATGGACAGACGGGGCTAATGGGACAAAGAGTTTGACATTTAAATGTTACTTTGATGTCAAGATAGAGCAGAGACAAGGTTGTAACAAAGGGATCACCCGTAACCTTGACCTTTGACCCTGTGACCTTAAAGCAATAGGGATCATCCTTGAGCTCGGAGGTCTCCAGCTGCCGTTTTGGGTTCCTGTGTTAAAGGATTAATAGTCACAGATTACAGATTAGTCTGCAGGTTGATCTTCGTCTCAGAACCGTTGGCCCGACTTGGAGGTTTCACCTCTGGTTCCTCCAGCGGTTCTGACGGACTTGGACCTGTGGGACAGCACCATCTCCGGGTCCTGCACTCAGAACTTCCAACGCAAATTATTCTATGATCCTGAAAAATGTTTCTATTGAATTAAAAAACAGTTTTTTAATCAGAAAAAATAAATAAAATAAAAACCACTGAATCAAAAACACTTCAATAAATTGCAACACAACAAAGTTGTTTTTGTTTTCTTTATTTTTTTTGTTCTTTTTATCTTTTTGCCATCTCTTGCTTTTGGAACTACATGCTGGACTTGAGGCGACGCGTTAGATTGTTTTTGAAACAAACATCTACTCAAAGCTCAAACTTCAACTGTCAGCGAGCAAAGCGCAAACACAGCTAATAAAAATAAAGGCTGACTTTTTTTTACTTCTTCTTTACACAGAAAATAAAAAAAAAACACTTTTTTGGACCCCCTCAAAAACAGGGGTAATAAAATATTTAACATTTGTATCACAAATCAATGCAATGAGAACAAAAATAAAATAAAATCTGTACAAGAATGATAAAATTCATTAAAAAGATCTTTTGTCCGCGTGATGTCGTTTTACTGACCGTAACCAAATTTAAAAGATTATTTCTTCTGTTGGATGAAGTTCAGGTTGACTGGATGGCGGACGTGAGGAACCAGAGGGAAGTTTGGGTTTGGGTGCAGCACAGAACCTGTAAAGAGAACCACAAGGATCAGGACTTTGCTCAGGAGAACGGTTCTGGGGTCCAGTTCGTCCCGCCTGACCTTGGGCCACAAAGGTCTTGCCTGGCTGGAAGTCCCCGTTGCCCTGCTGCATGAAGCTCTGGGGCATCCTGTAGGGCCACGATGGAGACAGGGTGTACTGCGGGCGTTTGTTGTGCTCCCATAACCGCGAGGCCTGGCTCAGAGCTTCCAACTGGGCCTGGTGACCGGACTCTGGAACCAGAACCCAACGTTACTCAGACTGACGAGACGGATCAGAGTTCAGCTGATGTGATTTAAAATAATCAAAAAATTAAAATCCTGCTAAAAGCAACAAGAAGCAAAAGGCTAGCTAGAAGCTAAAATTAGTAAAAAGAGCTAACAGCTAAAAGTAACAAAATGCTAAGTAAACCTTAAAATTTTTTAAAACCTAGCGAATGAAGCAAAAGGCTGGTTCAAAGCTAAAACTAGCAGAATAGTAGCCAAAAGCTAATTGTAATACAAATTGGGCTGAAAGACAAAAATAGAAGTGTGGTAGCTCAAAGGAGCAAAAAGCTAGCTAAACTCCATATGTGACAAAAGTATATGGCGCTGAAAGTAGTAGCTAAAAATAAGAGAACAATAACTATAAAATATAAAAATAGTCAAATATAACTAAAAACTATAAACAAAATCAAAAGCTTAGCTAGAAGTTAAAAGTAGCAAAAGACTGTCTAAAAGCTTAAAGTAGCAGAAGGCTGGCTAAAAGCTTAAAGTAGCTAAAGTCTGGTAAAGAGCTAATGTAGCAAAGGGCTGGCTAAAAGTAAAATTTAGCAGAACAGTAGCTAAAAGCAGGAAAAGGATAGCTTAAAGATAAAAGTAGCAAAACGTTAGCGAAAAGTAGCTAAAATAGCTAAATTTATCATAAGATGAAAAAGAACACGAGCTAAAGTTACAACAACCACCTCCTGCAAGAGCCAAATGTTTTGATTTATTAACAGCTGAAGAGCCATAAAACACGTTGAAAAACAGGAAACTTTAAATTCAGACGCAGAAAAACAAAACGGGAAGTTTGTGTGAAGTTCTTTAAAGATGCAGCTGCGTGAGACAGCGCCCCCTCCCCCACAGACAGACTGAACCCGCCCTGGTCAATACCTGACTTCACCACAGTGCCGTTGTTCACGAGTGACCCAGGTTGTGCCAGGTGGTTGTGCCAGAGTCCCTCCCTCCCCAGCCCCCCCACGCCCAGCTGTCTCGCTGCCGGCTGCGCGAAGATGATGCTCGGGTCGTTCAGGTTCATGGAGCCGGGGCTTCCCCCGGCGCCCGCGGGACTCCCGTTCCCTGACACTGAACGCAGGGCGAACTTCAGGCCGGGCGGGGAGGGGACGGTGGCAGAGGACGACGTGAGGACCGGGCCGTGGATGGGCCAGGAGGTGGAGGACATGTGGACTGGGTGAGGGGGCTGGCCCGAGGACTGGTGAGACTGGTGGGAGGGAAGAAGCCCCAGGGCGGTGAGAGCACCTGGATGATACTGGCACGAATGGGAGGTGGGAAAACTAAAGAGAGACAGAGGGACCTGTGGTTGGGGGGGCGTCTTCTGCAGAACAGAACTTGTCTTAATGTGGGAGGGCTGAGGGGAACCTGAAGACAGGGGGGAGCTCTGTGGGACAGCGGCGGGCTGCGGGGAGTAAGGCGGAGTCTGCAGACTGTCGGACTGTCGACGAGAAGAAAAATCAGAGTTGAGCAAATAAAATCAGATTTTCTGCTCGATCGAGACGGTCCGGTCCGGCTGCTGCACTCACACATTCAGAAAGCTGTCTGGTCCTGCCGGGACCGTCCGCGGCGCTCTGAGGGATCGGTATCGACTGGGAGCTTGCCACGGCCCGAACCATGTGAGGAGCTGATCCAAAACAAAACACAAGCTGTTCAATTCCTCCAGGTCTTTAACTGATGACATCACTTTATGCTGATGACAGACAGACTTATGTTCCATTAAAACAAGATACAGAGTACTCCGTGAACAAACTCCTGGAAGGTACGACTGAAGTCATGGATGCCACTAGGCCTGTCATGATAAACAATAAACAATAAATCAATTAATTGCATGATAAATGAAAATTATCAACCTCATTTTAATTTATCAGCTTTGTCGTTTCTTCATGTCTCTTTCTACTGAAGACACTGGACTGACAAAAGGCTCAACTCCAGTGTTCTTCACTGACCCCCACCCCTCTTTCTCTTTAAAATCTGTTTAAACCGTCCAAAACCACGTTTTTGGATCGTTAAAAGCAGCTAAGCTGAGAAGCTAAGCTACGAGCTAAGCTAACAGGCCGACCTCGGGGGGAAAAAACTCCGTCTTGTTGAAGCTCCACCAAGCGTCCGCCATTTTGAGAACCAAAGACAGACAGCCCATGTCACGTCAAGGGGCCTCCCTCTCATTTTTCTTAAAGAGACACGCTGTTCGCTCCTTCACTATCCAATATCAATAATTACTAATTATTGTCAAATTTTAAACAATATTATCGTTTATCGCAATATTTTCTGAGACAATTAATTGCCCAGCAAAATTTGTTATCATGACAGGCCTAGACGTCCCAGAACTTTTCTACAATTTAATGAGGAAAAGACTGAAGTGTTGTTGTTTAAGCCCAGTGATGGTTCCAAAGTCCACGCTGATCTGGGTCCTTTAACAAAACATCTGACTGAAACAGCAACTAGCCTGGGTGTGACGCTGGACAATGATTTTAAACTTGACACACAGATTAAATCAGTGATCAAGTCCAGCTTTTATCACTTGACACAAGTGGCCACGGTCAAAACATGTCTGTCATGACATCATTTAGAGATTTTAATCCATGCTTTCATTACAGCACCGGTGTTGTTTGTAAAGTGCTTTATAAATAAAGTTTTATTGTATTACGTCAACAAACATCAACATGGCAACACAATTTTAAAAAAATATTAATCATCATCAACAACTTCTAAATAAATTATGCGTTTGGTTCACTTCAGGGGATTCTGAACAGCAAGAAGTGACAGAAAAAAGTGTTTAGAAGCTGAAACGAGTTTCTTCTCGAAGCTTTCGATCAAACTGAAGCCTTACCTGGGGGCCCAGCGTTCCTCTGTTTCAGGTGGTGGTACTCGGGACAGTCTCTCCGTACGTGTCCAACGTCCCCACAATGGAAACAACGTCTCTCCTTCAAGTCCCGCTCGTCCTCTTTGGAGTCTTCATCTTTCTCGTTGTCCTTCTTCTTCATTCTAAATGTAAAAAAAAGAAAGACAAGGTGAAAGCGACGGACTTCTTTCGTGTATTTTAGCTTTTTCCTAATAAAAAGTTTATTACAAAACAAACTACAGCTGCTGCTTATAAAATACAAAAGCAAATCGTTGTCGTAAAGTTTTTGTTCCTCCTCCCGAGAAGAAAAATGTAATTTCCCCCACTACAGTAAGCTACGTGAACTTAAAAACAATTATAAATACTTTGAGTGATTTATTACAAGCCTGCAGCCGTTTTGTCTTGAAAGAAAAGAGGACCTGTGCTTAGGCCTGTCGCGATAAACGATAAATCAATTAATCGCATGATAAATTAAAATTATCGACCTCATTTTCACTTATCGGCTTTATCGTTTCTTCTTTTCTTTTCTCTTTGCTAAAAGCAGCTAAGCTGAGAAGCTAAGCTACGAGCTAAGCTAACAGGCCGACCTCTGGAAAAAACCTCCGTCTTGTCAAAGCTCCACAATTCACGGTTGAAACTCGTGCCTTCGTGTAAAAAGTTGTTTTTCTCTGCAAAAAGAAGCTGAGAACTTGTTTACTGATTTTTTATTAAAAGCTTTGTGTGACAAATGCTATGCTAAAGAGCTCAAACCACACCGAGCGTCGGTCATTTTGAGAACAGAAAACAAGGAAGGAGAGACAGCCCATGTCACGTCAAGGGGCCTCCCTCCCATTTTTCTTAAAGAGACACGCTGCTCGCTCCCTCACTATCCATCCTTTGGTTCAAACTGTTTTATACTGCCATCTGGTGCTCGAAAAAAGGTACTACATTCAAAATTAACCAACATTTCTTCTTACATTTGACAATAATTACTGATTATTGTCTAATTTCAAACAATATTACCATACCATACCATTTTATTTAAAAAGCACTTTAAGCAGCGACAGGGCCAACCAAAGTGCTGTACAAACAGAAACAAACAGGTAAAGCACACAGCAACACAAAACATAACGTAAAATCTAAATATAGAAACAAAATAATAGCGGATAATAACATAATGATTAGCACAGTGTGGTGCAAACAGGTTCAGCAACAGATCATACATTGTTGAAAGCCAGGGGATAGTAGTGGGTTTTTAAGTGGGATTTAAAAACCGTGAGGGAGGGGGCCTGTCTGACAAGCAGAGGTTACTCGTTCCAAAGTCTTGGGCCTGCGACAGAGAAGGCCCCGTCACCTCTGCGCTTAAGACGGGTTCCTGGAACTGAAAGAAGAAACTGGTCCGCAGACCTCAGAAAACGCGGTGGGACATATGGCTGCAGCAAATCAGAGAGATAGGAGGGGGCGGAACTGTTCAGTGATTTGTAGACATACATGAGTATTTTAAACTGGATTCGAAGGTGAACTGGTAACCAGTGCAGTGAGGCCAAAACTGGTGTAATGTGCTCTCTTTTGCCTGTACTGGTTAAAAATCGGGCTGCAGCATTCTGGACCAGTTGTAGTCGTGCAATGGAGGTCTGACTGATGCCAAACAGGAGCGAATTGCAGTAATAAAGTCTGGATGTAATGAATGCATGTATTACTGTCTCCAGGTTCTTTTTGGACAATATGGGCTTTAGTTTAGACAGCCGCCTCAGTTGGAAGAAACAGGATTTAACAACATGATTGTTAAGTTTCAGGGAAGGGTCCATTATCACGCCCAGATTAGTGACTCTTTGTTTTTCTGACAGGGTTAGAGCAGAAAGGTTGATGCAGTGGTTGACGATCGTGTCATTGGGAGGGAGCAGCATGACTTCAGACTTCTTCTTGTTGAAACTTAAGAAATTTAAAGCCATCCAGTCTCTGATGTCAGCCAGGCAGTCGAGCAGAGGGTGAATAGTGTGTGTACCATTGTGTCTTAGGGGGAAGTAAATTTGACAGTCATCGGCGCAGAAGTGAAAGGGTATGTTGTGTTTCCGGAAAATAGCACCTAGTGGCAGCAGGTATAACGAGAATAAAAGGGGACCGAGGACGGACCCCTGCGGTACCCCTTCATTCAAGTGCTGCCGATGCTGAACTAACATCCCTGATGGAGACACAAAAGGATCTGTCAGCTAGGTAGGATCTAAACCAATTGAGGGCTGACCCTGTGATGCCCACCCATTGCATTTTTAATTATCGTTTATCGCAATAATTTCTGAGACAATTAATCGCCCAGCAAAATTTGTTATTGTGACAGGCCTACCTGTGTTTCTTTGGGCAATCCTTCATGTAATGTCCGATCTTCCCACAGATCCTGCAGCACCGGTCGTTGGGCGCCAGCTCTCCGTCTGTCAACACCTTCGAGTCGAAGAAGTAGTCCTGCACACACCACACGGTTCACCAAAATCTTCTTATTTCGTTAAGGCATTTGTGAGAAGACGAGCCGAGTCACGGTGGATTTACCACTTCGGTGCCGGGGATGGGAAAGAACGGCACTCCGAAGAGCTTCCGCCCGTTTATGAAGGCCTTCATGATGAAGTTGGTCACTGGATGGAGAAGAAAAAGCACGTTACCGGGTCAGAACATGTCAACAGCTCGTTGGCGTCTCCTTCTAACCTCACATCAACTTTAGTGACATTTACAACCATCAGTCCTGAAAAGTTGTGCAAATAAAAACAATAAGAAACATCTGGAGGAGCATTTTGTAACCAGTTAGGTTAACTGTCAGCAGGTCAGTAAGACCGGGTATAAAATGAGACTTTGAGATGTAAAGATGGGCAGAGGTTCAGCAGTCTGAGAAAAACTGGAAAGACTTTGAATCTCCATCATCTCCAGGTCATAATCTCATCAACAGATTTCAAGAATCTGTGGAAATCTCTGAGCTCAAAGGCTGAAGGTCATGACCTTTGAGCCCTCAGGGGCCACTGCATTAAAACAAGGTCTGGTTCTGTTCTGGGCTCAGGAACACTTCCACAAATGCTGCCTAAAGCTCTATCAGGCAAAGAAGAAGCCAGATGTGAACATAGTCCAGAATCGCTGCCGTCTTCTCTGGACTAGAGGATGACATTTTTTCGGGAGTACCACAGGTCATGTGATTCCGGCGGGACCGGAGTCAGCCTCATTATAACTCACGTGACCGGGACGTGACCGGACTGAAAGCTAACGGGAGCAGACAGGAGCGGGAACCGATCGATAACCAAAAATGAAAACAAAAAAACGGTGCAGCTATTTTGTAGTTTTCTTTCAGTAAGCCTTCACTTTAACACAAGTGAAAAGAACTACATTGCCCAGAAGTCAACTGTTCCAGCCGTAGCTTTTCACCGAGCAGCGAAGTCTCCGGCAAAGAAACCGAGCAGCTGAAAATAGTTTGCAACGCAAGGTAAGAAGTAACTGTCTCTTAAACTCACAGAGCGGGCAGGAAAGTGTCAAATAACCCTGAACTTCATGAGAGTTGTGTTGGTGCTGCTTTAAACGTTTAGTCTCAGCTGCAGTGAGGAGTCGGACTTTGTTTACCGTCAGTAAATAAACTCAAACAGCGCATTTTTCTCCACCTTGTCCCTTTTAATTTAAAAATTATGCTCTGCTTTGTTATGTGGGTTTTTAGGTTAAAATCCTCATCATCTGTCGCTGTTTGTGTAAAAAAAAAAAATACCCGAACTCTTCCTGGTTAAAGTGCACGCATTCTCCGGTAAAAACATCCCAGTTTTTATATGAAAGACTGGTTGCATATATATTATAATAACTGTTTTAGTTTTAGATTGAAGATATGATGTGTATGTTGTTGTGTTAGATTTTAGGCCAAGAGTTGATTTTTCTCAGTTCATTTCTTCACACCAGGGGCGATTCTAGAAGCACTTTTTAGGGGCCTTAGCCCCCCAGTGTTGACAATGGCTCTTGCCTTTAACAACACAGTGTGTATTAGCATTAGAATTATTGCAGTGGAGAGATGAGGTGGAACACCAGACCTGCAATGGTCCAGTCTGTAAATGATGCTCTGAAGTCTGGGAAGATGCACGACATCATGCTTCACCCAAACAAGCTCGTTACCTCGACCACATGGACTGAACTTCTTGAGGACATGGTCCAATGTATAATAACGCCTTTAAGCATTTTTATTTGTTGAGTTCTCTGCTTGGTACAATATTTTCTTTTGTTGTTTGTTTGTTTAAACAATTTAAAACATGACAGTAATGTCACTGTTTAAAGGAAACAATTGATCAATAAATTAGTAAAATGCAACTTGTTATGTTTGGGTTCTTTCATCTCAGGTAGACATGGTGTGACCCATGAACTGGTTTGGATTTTTTGGTTTTACTGTAACTGACCTTCAAAAGAGCCAGAAACAGAGACTCAGCAGCTGATCCTCCGTAGAAAAATTATATTAATTACAGACCATGTATTATTGTTTTATGACATTTAGTGAAGGTTTTTGTTTGGATTAAGGAAATAAATGTCTCCATTTCACCACAGATGAACTGTTCCTGTTGACATATCTTTTGAAATAAAACTGCACAAAACAAAGTAATTTAAACAGAAATGGGTAGAAGATTAAATCAAATTCAATGTATTTCCTAAAAATTAAATGAAGAGAAAAAAACAGGAGCAGGACAGGAGTGGGAGTGATCCTGAACAGGAGTGGGAGTCGTGTTACCAGGAGTGGGACAGGACAGGATTATTTTTTTTACTCTGGACCAGGAGTGGGACAGGACAGGATTTTTTCTGTGGGACCAGGACAGGAGTGAAAATCCACTCCTGTGTCATCCTCTACTCTGGACCGGAGCTCGTTTCAAATGGACGGAGGTGAAGTCCAGAACTGAAACCACAAATGCCATGTTCTCCTACCAAGGAGGAGAGGGATCATCCAGCCTGGTTTCAGCACTCCGTTCAAACGTCTGCTTCTCTGATGGTATGAGGGTGCATTAGTGCCCAAGTTCCTACATGTTTACAGACTGAAGAGGGGATGCCTCATAGGGAGAACCTTGGTCCTGTCCCAACTTTGAGACGTTTGAAAGTCGGGACAGACCAACTGAGCATGATACATTGCGTTTCAGGCACTTACTTTTGCGAGACACTCCAGCACCAAGATTATGATTTAAATCAAAAGGATCTGAGGAGAAGAACACAAGTAAACAGATCAGAAGTCCTGGACCAGAAGAACAGGCAGGTCCAATTCAAGTGGAGTCGTGTGAGCACCTTCGATAGCGATGCATTTACTGGTCCACTGCTTCTCGAACGTGGTGAGGCGTTTCTTTTGACGTATGCTGATGACGTGCTCCTTAAAGTCAAACTCCTCTGTGTAAAACCGGAGCAGCCCCAGCCACAGCTCTCCCACCGACTCCGTGTTCGGCTGACAGTTGGACAGGCGCTGACGCTGTGCGGGCAGAAAAGACCTGCTCAAACCTGAACCTCAAACCTGAAACGAGACATCCGTCTTGAACTCACCAGCTCGGCGAGGTCGTCAAAAAAGAAAGCGTTCCAGCCGTCCACCATCCGCTGCGGAACAGTCTTACCATCGAAGATCTGGAAAAGACAAAACGCGGAGCCGTTTGTTCCACCCGAGTTAAAGCCCAACGTGTTTGGAGTCGGGGTGACGGATCAGAGGCGAGTACCTCCTGCAGGACGGGGATGACCGGCGGCTGCCTCTGCTGCAGGAAGTAAAGCACCATCAGGATGTAGGCGTAAGACGAGAGGCTTCCTCTGGAGGCGTCCCCGATGTCGCAGCGCTGGGAGCACAACAACAAGCTTCATTTACCAGAAGAAACCGAGACGTCCCTCAGCTGCAACTCCTTTCCACTATAAAGAGGCTGTCGCACAGCGGCGGACTGCATCAGCGTAGGACAAAATGCCAAACACGCTGATGTAAGTCACATAAGTTAGGTGAAAGTTTAGAACAAGTTTCCAGCACGCTGATATACGAGCATGCACAACATTTTCACCGTGAGCTGACGTGCTGCTCACAAGGTACAGGTGTGCGCCAGGTGCACAAGTTCACACACATTACATGTCATTTGACATACGTCTGAAACCAGCGTTGAAAGTAAATTATTTCTCTAAACAGCGTGACAGGACCCACTGGGGATTAAAAGTGCAAAATAATACAAAAAAAAACATTTTGAAGTGAAACATGACAGACTGTCGGCATTTAAAAATATTTGACAGATTATAAATAAAGTGGTTGATCAGTGAGGTTTTATTTCTGTTGACGAAAAACAGATGTGTAACTAGAACCTCCTTCTTCCACCTGCGTAATATCGATAAAATTAGAAACAGATAAAAATGATGCGGAAAAACTGGTCCATGCATTTGTCACGTCTAGACTGGACTATTGCAATGTTTTATTATCTGGGTGTCCAAAAACTTCTTTAAAAAGTCTCCAGTTGATCCAAAATGCTGCTGCCAGAGTCTTAACTGGAGTTACTGGGAGAGATCATATCTCTCCAGTTTTAGATTCTCTCCACTGGTTCCCTGTTAAATACAGAATTTAATTCAAAATCTTACTTCTAACTTACAAAGCCCTCAACAGCCTAGCTCCATCTTATTGTTCCATATTTTCTCAACAGAGTACTTTGTTCTCAGACTGCAGGTTTACTCATGGTTCCTAGTTTACAAAACCAGAATGGGAGGAAGATCTTTCAGTTCTCAGGCTCCTCTCTTGTGGAACCAACTTCCAGTTTCTGTCCATGAGGCTGACTCATTGTCTAGTTTTAAGACTGGGATTAAGACTTTCCTTTTTAATAAATCCTATAGTTAGGCTTGACTTGTCATGCTGCTATAGACTTAGACTACTAGAGAACAAATTGACCTCATTTCCTTAAATGAATTGTTAAAATTGAATAGTTTTCATTTGGTTCTATCTGAATACGTGATTCTTGACCTGCCATTGTGTATCTGTTCTTCTCAAACCCAGCCGGTCGAAGCAGACGGCCGCTTGTCCTGAGCCTGGTTCTACTTAAGCAGGGCTATTCAACTGGCGGCCCAGGGGCCAAATCAGGCCCACGGGTGAGCTCAGTTCGGCCCACCGATGGGCTCATTTTTAAATAAAACTAGATTTTAAACCATAAAACAAACTTACTTAATGACTTTAATTGCTGTATGTCCGGCCCCTGAGCTCTTGGCTTTCAGTAACTGTGGCCCCCTGAGAAATTTACTTGAATAGCCCTGTGCTAAAGGCTTCGTCCTCATGAGGGAGTTTTTCTTTCCACTGTCGCCTTCATGTTCGCTCAAGATGAGAGTTCAGCGATGGAGTTGAACTCAAAGCTGCTCCTCAGATAAATAATGTTCAATTATTATTTTTATAAATTAATGTTCATGTTCAGTGTCCTGAGAACACTGAGATGTGGCTCAGGGACACCACCTAGTGGTGAACAAATTTGACCCGGTTCAGAAGTTGGTCTAAAAGTCAACCAACTCCTCGAGTCCATTGAGACGTTCTTCTTCATGTTTGTGTGGATGCTTTAGGGACGGTTTGATTCTTCACTGACCTTTGCAAAGACCTTTATGGTGTAACCGAGGAGCTGCACGCGTGGATCCAGAGCGGCGTACGTCGCCAGCATTCGTGTGTTATGTTGGGCCTAAAGACGTCGTCGAAACAAATTTTTTCTTGTTAGATGATTGATCAAAGAACAGACGGGGGTATGAGCGGCTCGTCGCCTCACCAGGGTGTTATAAAGGCTCACGTCTCCCTCCAGTCCACTTTGTCTGTGTTCAAACTTCACAATAGGCACTTTAGCTGTGGTGATGGGCAGAATGTTCCTCAAACCTGTGGAGATGGGACATGTGTGAGGTCACAAGTAGACCCAAAAGCACAAATATGAGAAGACCTGATGAAAAAAGTGCTTCACTCACCTGAATGTTTCTTTAATACTTTCGCAAGTCCTTCGATGATCTCTTTACAGTTCAGCTTCTGGTGAGAAATCAAAGACGGCACGATAAAAACAAGAAGGACGTACGGAGAAACCACTGATGGGTTTCAGGAAACATCTGCCCACCTCTGCAGTCTCGTGACCCTCCAGAGTCATGCAGATGTCCAGGTCGCTGTCCCGGAAACCAAAACCGTTCTTGGACGAGCCGAACAAGCAGAGCTGAGCTTTCTCTGCGAACGTTCAAGAACAAGGCACGTTTCAACTCGCCGCCGTGGAATGATAAAAGCAGGAGGGGGGGAAAGTTCAAACTCACCGTTGTACTCCTTTCTTATAAACCTCTCGAGGCCGACGAGGATCTGCTCCCGTTTCTGCTGCTCTACGTGCGAAGGGGACAGTTCGTCTGCAGACAAAGCAGGCAGAGAGCCGCGACCGTTACAGATCAAACAATACATGCACAGTCCATCGCTGCACCAGCTCCCCTGTCCCTCCACCCAGGCCTCCAGCTACGCCCACACCCACCGGGAGCTTCGAGTAGGGAGAGTATTATGGGGGCGATGGACCCAGGGTTCCTGTCAGGGTCCGAGTTTAGGCTCAGTAGCCGGGGTTAAGTTCAGGGTCAGGGTTCTGGGTCAGGTGTAGTGGTCTGGGTTAAGGTTGGGCTTGGTTTGGAGTCAGAGGTCAGGTTAGGTTTAGGAAAAGAGGTCTTGGGTTAGGTTAAGGGTCAAAGGTCAGGGGTAGGTTTAGGGTATTGTTTTTTAACATTTTAAGAACTTTGCGTGAACCTTTATATCTGTTGCTGCTGTTACACTTGAACGTCGCCCTGCGGGACAATAAAGGCTGTTTCTATTCTATTCTAATGAAAGATGGGTGTTTTAGTTCAGCTGCAGCGCGTCATCTTAAGAAGAGAAATAAAAACGAGAGCCCCGGTGTGTTGCTGCGTACAGTAGCACAGTTTGCAGAGTCCGTCCAGGATATTCCTGAACCTGTCGTTCATCGGAGGCAGAGGGTTCAGCTCGATCTTCTTGAAGTCTTCGGGACAATCGTCCTTTAGGTGGCCGTCCCGTTTGCAGATGCTGCACACGACAGTTGGAGGCTGAAGTAAAAACAAAAAATAAAACCGTTAAACGTGGAAGAACCTCCCTAACTTAAAAGGAGGCGTTGGAAACAAAAAGAGGCAAATAATAAAACGCGTTCAACAAAAGACCCCAGGAATGTCTCCGTTGTTCGTTCTGAATTAAAACAAAGTAACAAAGTGAAAACTCAAATGTTCTTTTGTTGTTTTTTACCTTTCCTCCGGTGAAAATCATTTTATCAAACACGTAGAGCAGATCGTGGGACCCAGCTTCTCTCTCTGGAACCTGGTTCTCCTCCTCATCTTCACTGTCCGGCAGGCTGTCGCAGGACGAGGGTCTCTTCCCATCACCCATCAGATCTAAACCACCTTCATCGTCTCTCTCCTTCTCCTCCTGCTGCCCCATCCTTTCACCTCTCTTTTTGCCCCTTCCTCCTCCGGCGCGCCTCCTCCTCTGAGGGCAGGCGAAGTATTTGTACGCAGCGCGGAAGCACTCCTGGATGTACTCGAACACCATCTGGCTGTTCAGGCTCCGGGCAACGTTTCTCTTAAAGGCAAACGGATCTAAAAGGAAAAGAAACTGAGGAAAAGTTCATTCCTGAAAGTTCCCCCCCCACCCCGACTGTGACGAGTTCTCCCCCCACACCCACCTTCGATGGCGAGCCTGCGGCGGGGCCAGTTCTTGGCCTCCCTGGAGAGGAGCTCCTTCAAGCGGATGCTGATGATGTACTCCTCCAGAGCGAACTCCAGGGTGTAGAAACGGAAAAGCTCCAGCCAGAGCCGGCCCAGAGACGCGTCCTTCGTCAGGCCCGAGGCCAAACGGCTCTTTGGGAGGAAGCAGCCGAGGTCAGTTGGAAAACAGCAAATCCACTGCCAGGTTTTATGAAGCGGACCGAACAGGTCGACGGTAACACTTTACAATAAGGTGCACACAATTTGATTTACTGCTAGGGAACGCATCGGGAACGAATCAGGAGCTAATGGATGGTTAACCAGTACTTACTGGGAACACACAGCCAAGCCAAATGCACAGAAACAGTAGGTAATGGTCAGGTGGTGATGAAAGATCGGTTCCTCAGCGAGTGCTTGGTATGATGCTTCACCACATCAGTGAACACAATAACACCCAGGCAATGATCTGTTATCAGTGATAGTCAGACTTAGTTAAGATGAAACCAGTACAAGATGATGAAACGGATAATGTCTTTCATCAACACGTTTACAAAAGAGAAAATCCAATAAAATCAGTGGGAAACAGGTTTTTGACAATTACCAGCTGTGACCTCACTGGTGCAGAGTTTATTCAGAACACACATGGTGAATTTCTCCTGTTTCTGTGGTAACAAACCAGTAGTCCCCTAATAAGGCTTGGCTGTGTGTTCCCCAGTAAGTACTGGTTAACTACCCATTAGCTCCTGATTGGAGAGGGGGTTCTCTGAGTCCAAAAGTGGGCGTTTGTAGAGGGCAAACACTGATTGGCAGCTGTATCTGCTGCTCTTTAGTTAAGTTGCGTCAACTCTTTTATAAAACTGAAGGTTTCTAAGAACCAGCGTTAAATCTGCTGTCAAACACAAGAAGATCCTATTTAGTTCATGGTTGTAGCTGCACCTGACACAGGTCGGCTCGAGTCTGGTCTGGGTACAATGAAATATGAAGCATCTGAAGTGAAACCTGCTCCATTTGTCCAAAAAGTCTGGTCTCAATTAAAGATCATGAGTCCTGTGACGAGATAATGACCCAAAACAAAATGTTCTCTTTAGCAGTTCTTCTCTGAGATCTGATCTATGAGAGGAGCTGAAACATGGACTGACCCTTAAAATGTGAGACAGCTGAGGGAGTGAACCAGTAAACAGAATACCTGCTCCAGGTGCAGAAATCTGACACAAACTGACATCACTCATCTGCAGCCACTGATTTAAAACATGAACAAGAAAATGTGAAGTTAAAGGAAACATCCTTTGTCCCAAGGCCAGTTTAAGTATCATTAATATTTTGGTTACTTTATTTTTCTTTCTTTATGAATCGATTGTAACTATTTTCACATTATTCAACAACCAAAACAGATTTTGTTTTTTTTTAATGTAATGGGCTAGGTATTAAAAAACAAACATTTAGCTCTCCTCACTACCCAGTTATGTTGCTCTTATTTTGAAATGTAACCGGAAGTTCTGTGTTAAGAGGTGGAAAGAGAAGTTATGAAGACGCAGCTAATGTCGAACCGGTTAACATGATAAACACAATATGTCTGTGGTTAACACAAACGCCTTGATTTTTATCGTCCAGACTTCTTTTTTTTGTCCAATCAGACATGGCCTTCCAGACACGCCCATTTTTTTATCGTCCAATCAAATAACTCTTTCACTGGTACATCTTCATCTTTAAATCACTTCTTGGTCTGCTGCCTTCTTACATCTCCTCCTACATGTCTCTGTGTGAGTGCAGCTACAGCGTGCGCTCTCAGGACATCATTACCTGCAGTGTTCCCTCAATGAGGACTGAACTAGACAAAAGGACCTTCTCCTGCTCCGCTCCTGTTTCCTGGAATATCTTACAAAAAGATTTGAAGCTCTCGACCTTTGACCTCTCTAAGTGGCTTTAAGAATCTGTTGGACTCCTGGCAGGGACCAACGCAGACATGTTCCTGTTTTTAGCTTTCTACATTCGTCTTATGATCTAGCTGTTTTTGTTACTTTTTTTGCATCTTAGTTGTAAAAAAATAAAAATCTTTATGCCTTTTTATGTCTTTTGTAGAAATCAGGTCTCTCTTGTAAATGAGTCCTCGAGGCTCAGTGGGATCTACCCGTCTAAATAAAGGTTGAATGGATGAAAAAAGTGTGGCCCTCCAGACACGCCCATTTTACTATCGTCCAATCAGATGTGGCCCTCCGGATACGCCTTCCTAATTTGTCTGCAGAGATACCTACTTGCCTGATTTGTTCCTGAGGCGTTCCCTAGCTGTTCAAACTTTGTGTACCTTATAGTAAAGTGTTACCGGATAAAAAAATAAACCGTTGTGTGTTCACGTCCTCACCAAACCCTGAAGCCGTGTGTGAAAGAACTGAAGGAGAACTCACCTGTCCCACCGAAGGACGAGCAGCATCACATTTACTCGGCTCTGGTTTGGATGTGCCGTCTCCTCCGGCCTCGCTGTGGTTCTCCCCTCGTCCCTCTGAGGCGCTCGGACGTCTCCGCTCCCATTTGACAAACGTTTCCTGAACGATCCCCGTTAGGTGATACTCGTCGACGCGTTTCACATCGAAACCTTCGATCTGAAAGAGGAAGGAGGCGACGCTGAACTTCTCAAAGCTCTTTGTTTCGTTTGCGAAGAAAATATTGTGTATGCGTTAAATGAAAGGAGCGCAAGGAGAATCCACGCACCCAGTGGCCCAGGTAGACGGGGAGGATGGGCTCCTTCCTCTGCTGCAGGAAGAAGATGACCATCAGGGCGAAGGAGTACGACGGGATGCCGCCTTCAGCCTGACAGTCGATGTGACACATCTGGACAGAAAACATCCAAAAAACAGAAAAAATACATTTTTTATAATCTGGACCTGCTGCTTTATTAACATAAAGTTAATGTTACCTTTGTAAAATCTCTATAAAAATACAAAAAAATGCACATTTGAAATAATTTTTTACTTTCAAGTTTCCAAAGTGTTGATCAACACTTCAGGTTAAAATTGACTGTAAAACGTTAAAAAAAAGCACGAGTCTAAGGAGGGTTTAGTTGTTTCAGTCACAGCCTTACCCTGGCCCAGCAGCGGAAGGCCAGCACCAGCGGAACCAGTCTGGGCTCCAGTTTAGCCAAAGCTGCCAAGTGACTGGTGGTGAGACAGGCGATGCCGTTACCTGCGCTCACTTTACACGGCAGGCCGCTGCGCAGGGACACAGAACAGAGGAACCAACGGGAAGTCAGACCTGACACGACGACTGGCCACAGCCTCAACTGAACCCAGTTATCCCAGTCGCTACCTTATTTTATCAGAGGATTCAGATTTTATAACATCAAACTGCAGGGGCCCCTAACAACTCAGGTGAGTGTAAATCGAAGAAAGACGGCTGCAGTTTCATAAAACCACTAAAATAAGACAGCTGGATGTGTTTTAAAAGATTTCCTCATCAATAAAAACACATTAATGTGAAAAAAAACAACTTAATTTATACTGAATGCTCACCTGCTCCGATCCCGACAGAACACGGCGGGAACTTTGGCGTGAAAATCCGACTCAACCTCCGAAAATTCAGCTAAAGACGATAAATAAAGACGTATTTTATTATTACCCTGAACGACGACAATAAATCACAATCTGCTGAGCTGGGAAAAAGACACGAGCAGAACTTACGGCTGTTTTTGAGGATTTCCAGCACCTGAATCAGAACTTCAGGTTGGGTCATCTGACCAGAAGAGAGGACACGTTACAGCCGGCTCACAGAAAAACAAACGCACGAATGTTTTGTAAAACAGAAGCCGACTGACTGTGGAAGGAAACGTGACGTCGATGTTGATGTCGCTCGTTTTGAAAGCAAAACGGGTCAGACACGAACCGTAGAGGCGAAGGGAACAAGCTGGAGAACCAAAAATCCTACGTGAGCAGGACAAAAACACTTCTGAAGGCCTTTAACGTCACATTTCAACTGGGCGTAAACCTGAGAGGTGCCTCGTGACGACCGCCTCCATCCTCGACACCACCGCCTTCCGAGCCTCCAAGTCCTCCTCTGAGATCCCGTGCAGACGGGCGGTGTCCAGGACGGCGGCGTCCAACGCCCTCAGCTGGGCGGGGGAAGGCGGCGGGATGGCGAGCAGCTCATTCTCCTCCTGTTTCTCCTAACGCACCACAAACCAGAAGGTGTGAGCTATAAACTCCACACAGTACGAGTAACTTGGTGGAGATGGAAAACAAATATTTAAAAATACCACTAAGTTCTTCTTGTGTCTCTTCTCCTTGATGTGTTTGTAGGCTCCTTGGATGTTATCGATGTGCACAGAGCAAAGTTTGCATAAGTATTGATAGTTTGGGTACTCAGGAGATGGCTGTGGAAACAAACCCATAATAAGCATTTAATAAACCAAGAAGTAACCCAGTCAGAGTTCATAGAGAGAAAACTAGATAAGTCTGGGCGATATGGACCAAAAAGAATATCTCGATATTTTAAGATTAATCACGATATATATCTCAATATTTTTCTTTCCATAAAGTAATAAAAAATATATATTTCTGAGTCAAAGCTTTGTCCCAGTTGTCACACAGGCACATTTATTAACAACAGCTGTGACTGTACAAAATAAATGTCTAAAAAATAAACTATTTACATATATCAAAGTTTGGTTTTTAGGCATTTATTTACATTAAATAAGTTTCAAGACATTTGATAATGTCAATAAATAAAAATCAAAACAAATATGTTCTTGTTTTTAGTATTTTTACGGCACCCTGATTTATTCTTTTATACACTCCCGGCGGATTTTCAAGAATAACTATATTGTTTATATCGATATAATGTCAATTTATATTGCAAATGAAATCATTGTGATATTTTTAAATATCGCGATATCGCCCAGCCCTGCTGGTTTCCAAACGCAGCGTGTCAGAACGTTTCAGTACCTTTAGCAGCCGGTGGATGTGGTCTCTGTAGAGGCGCTCCTCCACCTGCCGGAGGCCCAGCTGCTGCTCCGTCAGGTGTCCTTCCTCTGCAGCGGGCCTCTCCTCTGCCTCCTCTCCTCTGGGCTGCTGCATCGAAGCTGCAGCCTTCAGGACTGCAAACACACAAAAACAATCTAAACCTTTCTTCGGGATGGCGTTCGAAGGTTTAAACATCTCGGGGAAATGTCTCACCGTGGGACTTGTCCTTCGCTGAAGCTCCAGTTGAGGCGTGGTCCTGCTGTGCGAGGCCCCTCCCAGTTGTAGCAGGCACCAACGGAGAGGTGGCCTCTCTGTTAGTCGAGGAGCTGCAGGTGTCTGCACAAATGGGCGTCCTGGACTCGGAAGGCTGATGTTGAGAGTTTGCCCCCTTGCCTTTGCTGCTCTCCCCAGAACTTGATCTTCCAGACAGTCTGGTCCCTCTGCTGGGCCGTCCTCTCTTCTTCTCATCTGGAAACGTGCTGCCAGGTGCGCGGCTCACCTGGCCGCCTGCGTTTCGATCATCCTTGGCAGCCGTGAGGTTTTCTTTGCTCCGCAGCGCAGACTTGACCCCCTCTCTCTGCACAGAAGCCTCTTTATTGGACTTCTGAGCAGACGAGGCCTTGGCTCCTCTGGACTGAGACTGTCTGACTGATTTCACTGAACTTAAGGACTCGTCCATCCCTCCTGTCCTGCCACGCTTGTCCCCGTTCCCAACAGCTCAGTGAAGATGACCAGGGAGACAGGCCACTTAAAAGTCTGGACAAAAGACAAAACAAACATTTCTGGGTCTTGGTTTGACAGATTTAACTTTATAATAAAATATGTGACTTTAAAGGTATTTAATAAGTAACTCCTGCAAAACATCTGGAATAAAATCATTCTGGACGTTTACAAGAGCACAACAAAAAATGTGCAAGTACAACAAAGTTTGCCAAAAGTTTTCACCGTTTTAAAGAAGAAGTTCCCAGAGAGTTGTAAAGAATTAAAAGGAGAAGACTCTAATAAAAAAATCTATTAAAGACGGCTGATAAACCAGCTGGCATGAGCCACTTCTGAAGGGTCACACCTGTCCATACTTAAACAAAAAGCACAAGTTTTACTTATCCTAAGTGTACAAGTTCTTGTTAAAGACGTGTTCATCTAAAGTACGCAATCATTGTTATATTTTATTAAATTAAAAACACTTGGGCTCTGAAACGACAACAAGTCAAATGTAGAGGAGGTCGTTCAGCCCGTGATTTGTTTGCGTTGAGTGCGTACCCGCGTTTCAGATTTTCATTTAAATGAATCTGGAAAACTACTTGAACTCGTCCAAGCTGCACCATTTGACCACATTTGGTTTTAATATTAATAATAAATAATACAGAATCTGGAATAATGACAGCAAATTAAACAAAATGATGAATGAAGTGTGCACAAGAGGACGCTGGCTGCATTATGACAGGTTCATAAGTCTGTAGTTACAAAGATAAGGAGACAACAGGTGGATGAAACTTCCTGAACGACTAAAACAAAAGTTAGTTGAAAACATTTCTCCTCTTCCAGGGAAACGAAAGTGATGCTCACCTTCACAGAGAGGCAGAGACCGCGCCTGCTCGGTGTTCAGGACACAATTTATGCGTTTTTATTGACCCATAAGGAGCCAAAGTTGTGTTCTGGGCCACCGTCAGAACCAGAGGAGAAACGCACACAGATCAAAACAGACGCTGCAATAAAACACGAAGGGTTTCCGGTGCGACTGGAGGGATGTTCTTCCACTTCCTGTGCACTCTTTGCGTAGTTTGATGTTAGCCGGAAGCTAACTAGCCGCGGCTGTGCCCGGGTCGCCAATAAAACTGGCACCCAAACGCCACACAACGTCGAGCCGCTAAAACCAGAGGTGCACGATTTCCGCCAAAACACCGCAGCAGAACGGGATTCGACTTACTTGAGGAGTTGATCAGGGCTCGGCTGTCCCCATCGTCCCGTTCATGTTTAAGACCCCACGGCCCTGCTCAAAACAGCGACCAGCATACCCCGCTGCATTGTGGGAGTCCCGGTGACGACAGAGGGGGGCGCGTGTTGTGCTGCGTTCAAGCGCCGCCTTTGTTTTTGTAAGACTTGATACCCAGAGGCGACCTGGTGTGAAAGCCGCTAAAAGAAAACCAAGATAATTTAAGTCATAACTATGAGACACGGTCTCAAAACTGATTTAGCATCTCATAAATATGATAAAATATTTAAAATTATTACTTCAGAATTAGAACTATGTCGTAATTATGAAAATGCCAACCTTTATTTCTACAGGTTAATCCCACTGAGCCTCCGGGACTCATTTACAAGAGAGACCTGAATAAATTAATACTGATATGTATGATATGTATATTACTAATATATAATTAACTAATATGATAGACATAATGTATATATAATAATATATTATTAAAATAAAGATATGTATGACTTAGCATCTCATAGTGTTATATTATATATCACAAGTTTATCATATTTAAAACAAAAATAATATAAATGAGATATGAGGTTGTTCAAGATACAAAGTCATAATTTGAGATATTAAGTCATAATCATATGTGATACTGAGTCGTATGTTCCTAATGAAAACGCTCTTGTGTATATTAATGTCAGTGTGTGTAACAGATTAATCTTCAAAAAACTGACATCCAACCTGGCAACAGTTCAAGTTCAAGTAGGTTTATTGTCATTTCACCACATGTGGTGCATGAGGTGGAATGAAATTATGTACACAGGGTCCCAGTTACATTCAACAATACCAAAAATATAAAGTGCAAAAAAACAGTATATTAGGATCTAATATATAAATACACGCCAAACACGCTAAAAGATCCGAGATATACGTTAAACGCTGATAATACAAATCTAAACGGTGTAACAGCAGCAGCCGGAACATGAGTCTGTGTGAGCAGATGGATATGAATAAATACAGCAGCATGAGATCAGCAGCATGAGATCAGCAGCATGGATAATAAAAGGATAACAGATCAACAGATGTGTATTAAAATGTTTGGTTTGTGCCTGAAAAGCATAAAATCGAGATTTGTCACAGAAACAAAGCATTTTGAACTAAAATCTTGCAAATAAGTCATAAATGTGAAAAACTATCTCTAAATTATGAGACCCTAATTCAAAATTACAAGATATAAAAGCATAATTATGTTATGCTACATCATAATTATGGGGTAGGATCTCATGATTATGACTTAATAAGTCGTATTTATAAGATATTAAGTCATATTATGTGATATTAGGTCATAATTATGTGCTGTTAGAGCATAACTATAAGATATTAAGTCATATTATGTGATATTAGGTCATAATTATGTGCTGTTAGTGCATAACTATAAGATATTAAGTCATAATTATGAGATACAAAGTCATATTTATAAAATATTAAGTTATTTTATGTGATATTTGGTCTTAATTATGAGATACTAAGTTAAAAAAAAGATAAAATATGAAGTTATGTTTTTATATTAAATCATAATTATGCCATACTGAGTTGTGTTTTTGCCATTTCGTTGCTGACTTCACCACCAGTAACGCTAATTGAAGATGAAGAAGATTAAAAGTGATGTGAGTGTTTAAAAAACATTTGCCTGAAATCTAAAAATTAAAGACACAGTGATGGTCCACGGTCAGCAGCCTCAACATGCGTGTGCATGTGATTTATGTATAATATATAGTTATGAGCTAGTATTGTGTCATAATAATTAATAACATGTCAATCAAAGTGAACAAAAAAACTGCTGAGATCAGTTTCCATGATTGTTTGTTTGTTTGTTTGTTTTGTTTAAAAACAACCTATGTTGCTGTTACATGCGATGTTAAAGTAAATGTAATAGTTTTGGATTCAAAATTCATCACGGAGATGAATTGCTGGTATTTTTGTATTCTCTGTTTTTTTTATGCTTTGTTATTTTTATATATCTTGTGTTATTCCTCGTGCATGTTCCTTTGTACTGAAACTCTGGCACAACAATTACCAGCGGAGGATCAATAAAGTTAAATCTTATCTTATCTTAAATGCCTGTTTTAAATATTATCAAAATAAAATACGAATTGTTTGCCACATTTTGTGGGGGAAAGCCTGCCAAATTTTGAGCATTTTTCATTGTTTTCTCTTTTTAGTTAAAATTTCAATGTGTCCTTTAGAGTTGGGTACCAGACAAGTTATCATCCATAAAGATAAAAGGATAAAAATATAAAAACCGCACTTCTGTCGACTTTTATTTTTTTAGGCGCCGGAAGCCGCCGGAAGTCGTGCTAATTTCCGTCCACTTCACGGCCGCTCGGAGTTTTTCGCTTCTGCTGTTGAGTTGGCACTTTTTCCTTGCGAAGATGCTTTTCGCTGCGCTCCTCGTGTGCGTGACTCTTCTCTTCAGCGTGGCAGAAAGCAAACAGAAAGACTTTTACACCTTTAAGGTGGTGAACAGCAGAGGGAAGCTCGTGTCCCTGGAGAAGTACCGGGGTTCGGTGAGTCCGGCTCAGATGAAAAACTCCGAACTTCAGACTGCAGCTGCTTCCCCTCTGACCTGCAGGCCAGCCGGGTGCACGCTGAATGTCGCGCGCGCGTGTGTGTTTCGTGTCATCACACTATAGATGTTGGACCTGTGCTGCGGTTCTGTTCGGTTCGGTTCGGGTCGTCCCGTTATGGAGCCCCGGCAGCAGCTTACGTGGCAGGAGGCCTGCAGCTGCACGAGCTCCATCTAAACCACCAAAACAAAAGAAAAGCATCAAGTCAGCACAAATTATTTTAATTATTAATGAGAGAAAATCAATAATCTGAATATTCCTAAATATATAAAATAAATAAAACTACTAGTTGTCTTTATGTTCTGAGGTTCGGGACCCGTTCATCAAGTGGGGTCTGACGTCAACATAAAATCCAAATGGGGCCATTTTTACCATAAATTCATTAGTAAATTGATTCAAAAGATGGTATTGTGGTTATAAGCACGGTTTGTCATTTATTTAATGTCAATTTATTTATTGAGCGCATAAAAACAACAAAAGCTGACCAAAGTGCTTTACAGTTAAAGAGGAAACGAGTAAAAAATGCATCTAGTGCCACTCAAAAACATAAAGTTAACAGTAAAATACACAGCAACAAATATCAAATCAGCTCTAAATTTGTTCTCAGACTCTGCGTGGATCAAAGGAGCACAGATGAGTCTTCAGCCAAGATTTAAAAGTCTCAACGGTCTGAGTGGTCTTTAAATGATGCAAAGATGAGTTATCTAAACCAACGTGGAATTGGTCCAAACGAGAGGTAATAAAAGCGTGAATCACCTTTTCAAGGTCTCTCAAAGAGACAAGACTTCACGTCTTAGCTGGAAGAAACTGGATTTCACAGCTGCATTTATCTGATTGTCTAATTTAAAAGCACTTTCAAAAATAACTCCCAGATTCCTGACAGTGGAGTGGTGGCATGAAGCCAAGGGCGTCAGGGGTGTTACATTTAGTTCAGTTAATCCATGAATAATTAATTTAGATGAGAAGGATGGAGCTGTAGCCACCTGGTGCTTGTTTTTCTTCAAAATTATCGTTAAACGTTTTCATGGTTTACTGGCAGGAATCATATTTACTGGGATTTGTTTACAAACGTTTGTTACTTTAACTTTCATATAACCTTTTGCTTCTTTTAGCTATTTTTTGCTACTTTACCTTCTAGCTACTCGTTTGATACTTTTAGCAGCCTCTTTAGATTAGCTGCTATCTTTAGCTACTTTACACTTTACTTAGACTTTTGCTTGTTTAGCTTTGGGGTAATTTCTTCTGTGATTTAATATAGTTGCTACTTTTAGCTTTTATGTCAGCTTTTTGCTATTTTAGCTTTCAGCCCATGTTTATCTTCTTTTAGGTATTTTCCCCTCTACTTTAGATTTAACTGTTTGGTACGTTTAGCTACTACTTTTTACTTTTTAGCTAACCTTTTTAAATTTTTAGCTTCTAGCCTTTTGCTACTTTTATAATTCAATTAGCATTAGGTTACTTTGACAATTTAGCTAGTAAAAAGATTAAAATAAAAAAGTTTTTAACTATTTTAACTTTTACCCGGTCTCTTGCTACTTTAGCGTCTAGTTAGCGTTTTGCTACTTTTAGCTGTAATAATAATAATATTAGCTACATTTGCTTCTGTGTAGCCTTTAGCTACTTGTAGCTCTCTGGTAATCTTTTGCTGTACAGTAGTCCCTCGCTACTTCCCGCTTCGACTTTCACAGACTTGCTCTTTCGCGGTTTTTCAAAATAAGAGTGGGCGTGACACACAGTTGGCTGATTGATGGATGAGTTGCACGATCGGCATGAAACTTTTATTTAAAATAAATTATTTTAAATGATTTAGCACCTGCTGCACCTGTGTGCCGCCCACAGCTGAAGGAGAATCTTCCTCCTGCAGCATGTCAGGATCTCCGCTCTGCAGCGGAGAAGTGGGCGTGGCCAAGAGCACAGCCGGAGGCAGAGAATGGAGATCATGACATGCTGTGCTCTTTTAGAGCATTTAGAGTTTAGAAACATTGTTTAGAATATTGCAAGAGTGATTGGTTTTACTTTGGCTATTTTTGTCCTAGCTTGCCTACTATTAGCTTTCAGCTAATCTTTTTTTTTCCAGCTTTTTTTCAGCTAGTGTTTTGTTTCATTTAGCTACCATTTTAGCTGTACATGTGGCACTTTTTGCTAACCCTTTACCACTTTTAGCTAACCTTTTGCTAAGTTTAGCTAGTTGACCTCTTAATTTTTTTAGCTTTTTGCTAGTGTTTTATTTCTTTTACCTAATGTTTTGCTACTTAAGTTTTTAGCTACACATTTGGTAGTTTTAATTTGCCTTTTGCTACTTTTAGGTAACCTTTTGTTCATTTAGCTTTATCAATACTATTTTATCTTTTAGCCAATGTTGTGCTACTTTTGAACCTTTTAGCTGCTTTTTTGTGCCTTTTTTAGCATGTAGCTAGTGTTGTGCTTCCTTTAGCTTTGACAGCTCAGGTTGGGTTTGTTCGCTCATGTTCTCCATGTATTCTGTCGTTTACATTTTATTGTATATTTTGTGGTTTTCCAGCTAATAAAACTAACCTGTTTGTATCCATGGTAACATCGTCCATGAAACAAGTAGCCGAGGAAGTTTTTTAATTAACTAAAGGTGTTTACCAAAGCTTTTCAAGCAGTCTTCATCACCCGGACAGGTGAATGTTTGGAGCTGTTATGAACAGTCAGTATCTTACCTGCAGCTAACAGCCGTGTGTTTCCGCGGCTCCAGGTGTCCCTGGTGGTGAACGTCGCCAGCGAGTGCGGCTACACGGACGAGCACTACAAAGAGCTGCAGCAGCTGCAGCGCGACTTCGGCCCCGCCCACTTCAACGTGCTCGCCTTCCCCTGCAACCAGTTCGGCCAGCAGGAGCCCGGCAGCGACAAGGAGATCGACAGCTTCGTGCGCCGGATCTACGGAGTCTCCTTCCCCCTGTTCAGCAAAATCGCTGTGGTCGGAACTGGAGCCAACAACGTCTACAAGTACCTCGTCGGTGAGCCAGGCGGGACGCCATAAATGTCCTCAATGTGTCCAGTTATGTCTCATCTGCAACAGTTATGTAATAAAATGCAAATATGAAAGATTTTGCTCCATTCTGCTCTAAAAGTTGGAGTTTGGAAGCCATATTTGTAGTTTTTTTGCCATATTCAATGTGAGGAGAAACAGCAGGGAGACCTTCAGCTGAAAAGTCTGGAAACAAGCTGAAACATCCAGCGTGATATTTTATAGGAGCGCTTTTCTTATTAGTTCCTGTTTGTTTGGTGCAGAGGCGTCCGGGAAGGAGCCCGACTGGAATTTCTGGAAGTACCTCGTGGACGTGAACGGAAAGGTGGTCGACGCGTGGGGGCCGAAGGTCTCTGTCAAAGAGATCCGTCCGAAAATCTCCGACATGGTGCGGCAGATCATCGTGAAGAAGAGAGACGAGCTTTAACCAAGACATTTCTGACTTTTATTTTGAAGAGTTAAATTCACAGCACTGACGGAGCGCGGCCGCGTTCGGCTGTCTTCAGAAACATTGACAGCTGAAGTCTGAAACCAAAGAGGTTTTGTTGTTTTAAGATCTTTGTTTATCAAAAATAATTCTGGTTTGTAGAATAAACTTTCACCGTTTCCTTTTCTCTGAGTTTATTTCACGCGCTCGGGTTTCGTGCGTCCTTCAGATCCCGCCCTAAAAAAGTTCAGTGACAAATTTTATTTTATTCTGTTAACTCAAACTTTAAACCTCGGTAACGTTGATAAAGATTAAAAGTTGAACCTCACAAAGCCAAACGTTTAGGTGATTCCAGAATGAAACAAATGTAGCTGCCATGGTGTAAAGCATGTTCGTTTTTAGCTAACATTTAGCTACTTTTACCTTTTTAGCCAGTGATGTGCACACTTCAGCTTGTATTCTAATTTTTAGCTCTAGATAGTGTTCTGCTCCTTTTAGCTACAATTTTTTTTTTTTTTTAGCGCTAGGTTAAAAAAAAAAAGCCAAAAATGTAGCTTTTGGCTGTTATTGAGATTTTGGGGCTTTTGTTCTTTTAACTTTTAGTAAGTGTTCTGCTTTTTAGCTAGTCTTTTGCTGCTCTGTTAGTTTTTAATCAGCCTTTTTTTTACAGTCATGTTTTTGCTAGCCTTTTGCCATCTTTGGCTAGCCCTTGTTACTTTTAAGCTTCTTAACCTTTTGTTAGCCTTAAGATATTTTTAGTGAGTCTTTTTTTTTATTTACTTTTAGCAATTCCGTGTTTTTTTAGGTAGTGTTCTGCTTGTCTTAACTAGTGTAGTGCTTTTTACTGTCAACGAGGGAGAGGGCGGGCCCTGGAGGAGAGAGCGGACCCTGGAGGAGGGGGCGGGTCCTAGAGGAGAGGGTGGACCCTGAAGGAGGGGGCGGGCCCTGGAGGAGAGAGCGGACCCCGGAGGAGGGGGCGGGCCCCAGAGGAGAGAGTGGACCCTGGAGGAGGGGGCAGGTCCCAGAGGAGAGGGCGGGCCCTAGAGGAGAGAGTGGACCCTGGAGGAGGGGGCAGGTCCCAGAGGAGAGGGCGGGCCGTAGAGGAGAGAGTTGACCCTGGAGGAGGGGGCAGGTCCCAGAGGAGAGGGCGGACCCTAGAGGAGGGGGCGGGCCCCAGAGGAGAGGGCGGGCCCTGGAGGAGGGGCAGGTCCCAGAGGAGAGGGCGGACATTGGAGGAGGGGGCAGGCCCCAGAGGAGAGGGCGGACCCTGGAGGAGGGGGCGGGCCCCAGAGCCCATCTTAGCACCAACATAACTGGGGTTTTTTTCCCACTTTGGAGTAGCCTGTTGGTGGAGAATCACTTTTGTTTGGTGGTTCCTCAGACTGATGAAGCCCTTCGGGTGGAGGGCGAAATGTCTCAACACAAAAAAGAAACCGTCCAGATGACCTGACTGAACATTGTTGGATTTTATACCTGAATTATTGAGCATGGACTTTTTGAATTGATTTTTAGCTTCTTCTTTTTTTTTTTTAACAGTTATCTTTTAAAAGTTTTTGCAATGAACCTGTCTTCATGGCAAAAACCACTGCAGCCACGTTCTGTTTTTAGTATTCTAATTTTCTACGTCGCTTTACAGTCTAGCTGCTTTTTTAAAATCATTTTCTTCCATTTATTCTTCTCAATTTGTTTGTTTTCTTTTATGATTGTCTACTCTTGTTTTGTCGGGTGGAAGTAATGAATTACAAATACATTGCTGTAATTAAGTAGTTTTTTGGGGTACTTGTACTGAGTATTTCTTTCAAGTGTGTAGTTTTACTCATACTTAAGTACAATTTAAACCATGTAATCTTCGCTACTTTTTAATCAGAAGTTGTTACTGAGCACGGCAACAGTTTGAATTAATATTCACACCATTCATCTGCATCTTTGTAGTCAATGAGGCTCTCGGATCGAAAATGCACCAATTACCTATGACGTAAGCAAAGGACAACTCTGTAGAGAGTCATTTATGAACCGAAGATTTGGAGAAAAAGCCAAAATGGAGACAGAGAACAACACTGTCAACAGAGAAAATGACGAGGTAAAGGCTGAGGACGAGTGCCCGTGGCCGTACCTGGATACATTTTGACTTTGTTTGATCTCTATGGTGAAAGCAGTTTATAAAACTTCAGCATCTAATCTCAAAAAACATACTGCAGTATACGAGGTTTTACAACTACCTGTACAATGTTGAGATTTTTTTATTGTTTGTATGTGTGGCTTATTAGTTTGGCTAAGTCGGCTTGTCATAATAACAAATTTTGCTGGGCGATTAATTGTCTCAGAAATTATTGCGGTAAACGATAATATTGTTTGAAGTTTGAAAATAATTAGTAATTATTGTCAAATTTAAGAATAAGTGTTTGTTATTTTGTATTGCATGTACCTTTTTTTTACCACTGGATGGCAGTATAAGACTGTTTGAACCGAAGGATGGATAGTGAGAGAGCGAGCAGCGTGTCTCTTTAAGAAAAATGGGAGGGAAGCACCTTGACGTGACATGGGCTGTCTCTCTCTGGTTCTCAAAATGGAGGACGCTCTGTGTGGTTTGAGCTCTTTAGCATATCATTTGTCACACAAAGCTTTTCATAAAAAAATCAGTAAACAAGTTCTCGGCTTCTTTTTGCAGAGAAAAACAACTTTTTACACGAAGGCACAAATTTCAACCGTGAATTTTGGAGCTTCGACTAGACGGAGGTTCGGCCTGTTAGCTTAGCTCGTCGCTTAGCTTCTCAGCTTAGCTGCTTTTAGCCATCCAAAAATGTGATTTTGGATCGTTAAAATGGATTTTAAATAGAAAAAAGAAAGGGCGGGGTCAGTGAAGAGCACCGGAGTTGAGCTTTTTGTCATCCAGTGTCTTCAGTAGAAAGAGAGACACGAAGAAACGATAAAGCCGATAATTGAAAATGAGTTTGATAATTTTCATTTATCGTGCGATTAATTGATTTATTGTTTATCGCGACAGGCCTGTGACTAAGTATTTAAAGCTCTTAGATGTTGTCACTGCCATGAGTTTGTCTGGAACTAAAATAAGACGGAGCTTCTGAGAAATGAGCTTTGAAGTAGCTGTTAATCAAACTGAATGACTTCTATTGACAACACAACATCAGCTGGTTAAAAAGTAATTAATACTCTGAGTAGTTTTTGGGAAGATCACTTTGTACGTTTATTTACGTATTTTGATAACACCAGCAATTTTACTTGTAATTGAGTACAATTTAAAGCAGTGTAACAGTACTTGTATGCCAACGTTCAGTAGCTTCTAACAAAACCAAATATCCAGATGATCAATGATCTCTGCAGCTTCTTCAATTTTAACGTTTATTCTCTGAACAGCGGGCCTCAGAACTCCACGGACCGGGTGTCAGGACTGGGGCGTTAGTTTGGATCCAGCGCTCAGGACCAGACCAGTGCGATGTTGTCAAATAATATAAACGTGCATAAAAAGACGTGCGGCGGTGACTTGTTTACTGACCAGGTTTGTAGAAACGATAAAACGTGTGTGAAAAGAAGTGGATGTAAAATAAGAGTAACAACTTCCTCCTCTGACAGTCCCAGTAAAGGTCTGGTCTTTAAATCTGACGGTCCCAGTAAAGGTCTGGTCTTTAAATCTGACGGTCCCAGTAAAGGTCTGGTCTTTAAATCTGACGGTCCCAGT